GAGACCCCGGCTTCATCACCCAGGCGACGCTGGGGAAGCAGACAAGAAGAAGGCACCAAATTTGAAGTGCGAGGCCGTACAACCGCAGCGGGCTCCCTTAGTGGAGCCCCCGCCGGTAACTTTTGCTAAAAATAATTCCACATACAGTTCCGAGTGGGGCACTCGTTTGCGTTGACATCACCGCTGCCAGGCTTATTTATTGTTTCAGGTCGCCCCCATCCCCTTACTGCCAGACATCATATCAAGCAGGAACTTGAGGGGAAAACGCTGACGAAGAGATCGTCACTACATCCACTCTGAGGGAACGGCTAGATTATCAGAAGGGGTTATATTCAAGCATGATCGAGCTTCAAGAGAAAAACTTTCGAATCTTCCTAGAAACAATTCTAGAATGAACAAACAAGAGACTTAAGGAAGTACAAGAAATAGAGACAGTTTGCAGTACTCCCAGAAGACATAGAGGAAGGGAAAATTTCAAGCTCACTGCAGGAACAGAGAATCAAGGACATTGAGGACAGAACTTTCCCAACCTAAGGCCGACTCTATAGCAAGTGTCAACAAAATGGACTACCTTGTAAACCAATCAAGACAATAGGGGCTGCACTAGTAACCTCCATGGAGGTTGCTCATGCAGTCCCTTCTCAATCAAGACGAAACAACATACTCAACGTTTGGATTCCAGATTCTAAAGATGAAAGTTGGAGGAAAGTGAACAAAAGTAAAAGACATGCTAAAAGAGAAACTCAAACTAGACCCGCGTACAACTGAGATCGAACGGGCACACAGAAATGATAGGTTCCAGCAAGGCGAAAGGCCACGACCAATAGTTCCCAAGCTCCTAAGATTCAAGGGTAGACTGACAGTACATTATCCAATTCAATAACAATCCATAAAATCTTCACAACCATGACAAATGGCTTGCCCTAAGTGTGAGAAAATAGTATATACCCATAATAGTAATAATTCTACAATTTGCTCATGCTGAAAGCTAGTATTTCAAAGGAAATGTACTCCAGTTACCAAGTCAAATCAGAAGCTCTGGACGTCATGGATCTGTAAGATTGCTGCTCTACTTTTTCCATTTTCAAATATGGAGGATAACGAATTCTACACGCACTTGAATGATTTTAGTACTAAAATGTATACATATGAAAATTGCAATTTAAATTTTAAGTATAATTATGAAGACAGCTTGATATTCAATCCCTTTAAGCTGAATGATGAAGAAGAATCAATCCACACAGACAGCTGTGATCCTTATTTAAATTTTTACAATAACATGCCAAGTCTAATCTTAGGCACCACATGTGCATACTAATAATCGTTTAATAGCATGCGTACAAGGCAACTATAAAAACCACGCTTTCTCAACTTTGCACCTAAACAGTCTTCCAGAAAATCATGACAATTTTGTACATTTTTTGACTACACTAAACCATGAATTTTCTGTCATGGGATTATCTAAAACTTGGCTCACATTTACTACATCAAACCTGTATGATATTCCTAACTACACTTCAGTGCACAGTTGTAGAACTAACTGATTGGGCGGTGGAATTTCTTTCTTCATCCATAACAAGCTAGAGTTCTTAGAAAGGAAAGATTTATCCATAAATTCACAAGATGAAAATATACAGTCAATTCAAAAAAAAAATCCTTCATCCTCCTCTCCCACTGCAAAGAGAATGGTAGTAGGCTGCGTATATTGACCTCCTGACACCGATATTAAGGAATTTACAAGTCCTTTGACAACAACATTAGACGTAATTAACAGGGAAGGACAAACTTGTAAATGTATGCCTTGGAAGCCGTTGATGGTATTTATGTGTGTGGGGACTTCAATAGTCGTACATGTGACCGTAATGATTGTATAACTGAAATAGACGGCATTCCTCCCCGCGTGGCACTCGAAACAACGGTGAACAACCATGGGGCTAGCCTAATTGACTTTATGAAAGACTCCAACATGTGTGTGTTAAACGGTAGACTTCGTAAAGACCAAAACAACTTTACTTCTATTTTTTACGAGAGGTAAAGCAGCAGTTGATTACATTCTAACGCCCCAAGATTGTTTGGACAACTGTGTCGACTTTAATGTACTTACTACAACTGATATTGTGAAAAAATGTGGTCATAAACGCCTAAGTTTCATAGGCGATCGGAGTAGACTACCAGACCACTCTGTGCTATATTTGGCATTTTATGTGGGAAGCCAGTTTGTGGAAAACCCGGAGTCAATACCACAGCATGATATGAAAAGGAACTACAAAATTAGATACTTACCTGGAAACTTCTTGACTTCCGAAATAAGCCGTAGGACCTTGTGTATGCTAATAGATAATCTACAATCCATGCATGGACCTCAGAGAAATATTGACGTACGATAAGTTTTGTGTTATTAACCATGATGAATTAAATTCAGGTAATTCAGGCTCCAGACTATTAACCCATAGCGATTTTGGAATGAACTGAATAAACTAGGACCTTGGCGAAGTACAAAAATCCCTATGGAAGTGCTAGACCATGATGAGGATTTGACTCATGATGTAAACAGGGTTCTTGAAAATGGGAAAGGGATTTTGCTGACCTGTTTGCGGGAAACAATACGAAGCTGAACTTCATGAAGAATTTCATCAGGAAATTTGTACACTGAAAACTCAACTTGAAAAGGATATGAGGAATACATCATACCCAACCAATGCATTTTTTTAAAAACGCCCCGATTACTTTGTAGAATCCCTTACATCTGCCAAGACAGGGAAAGCAAGGGGAGTGGATGATATCTCTAATGAAATGCTAAAAACACCAAATCTGTTGCAGACATTATATACCCTTGTGCACACATGTTTTAATAGTGGTCTTATACCATCTGTCTGGTACAAATCTATAATGAAACCCATCCCGTAATCATCAAAAAAGACCCTTAAGTCCCTTGAACTACAGAGGAATAAGCTTGATGAGCACTGTATACAAACTTTACACAACCGTCCTCAACAACGGATTAAATCACTACCTGGAGTCTCTAAATCTAATAGAAGACGAACAGAACGGCTTCCCAGCCTGTATTGATCATATATATATATATATATATAGGCATAGAGACAGATTGATTGTGGTGTTGATGGTAGATTTTACGAAGCTTTCATGACCTTGTACAAATAACCTG